CGACGGTGAGGTGACTAGACGAATGACGCCTACTATAGGTGACGCAGAAAGTCGGGTTAGCCATCCTCGATCTGTTCATGAGCAGTTTGGATAGCAGTATGTGATTTAATTATATCCGGATTCATTGCAGGTTTATCAGCGCATAACGGTACAATCATGCGAGCAAAACGCAGGATGAACTTGCTGCGGTGCAAGTGTTCGCAAACTTTTCCCAGTGTTTACATGCGCTCAAGGAAACTGGTTGGCTCTCAGGATTAGTGTAGAGCGGAGTTGAAGTTCAAAAAGAATTGGAGGGAGAGCTTAGCAGAATTTTGATCTAGGAGCGGCGATTATAAGAGATCGGGTGGAAGATTCTAATTACGGGAGGACAACGGCAGGAGACCACATAAGTTGGCAATTGAAGACGAGTTGCATGTAGGCCGAGTGGGAATTCACATACGTGTATTTGTAAAGCTTTTCGCTAATTTTGAGTCACTTAGCGTTGATTTGGACATCCAAACGCTCATGACTTCTTTCGAAGAGTTGTTCTGCAAAGGAAAGAAGATTTGGAATCAGCGTTTAGCGGCGCGTCTAGTGATATACATTTTGTTTTTGATCGCTGACTTGGGTTGGTATCCTTCCCTTGCAAGATCAAAAAGCCAGGGCACTTTCGCAACTTACTCCTGTGTGGAAGGAGGCAAAACCTGGGGCAGAGCTGAATGGCGCTATTATTAGAGTTTTACAGCTTGTAAAAAGCGTTGATTAAGGAGTACTACACCGTTCTGCTAGTATGAAAACTTTCAATATCAGTGACGGTTTCTGAAAAAAAATTATGGAAAATTATGTGAGCAAATGATTTTGTTCCAGCGCAGATGGTGCTAAAACGGTTCCAGCTAGTTCGGAAGAGTTGAGCACGGCTTTCAGACAGCTTTTCATGAATTTATCAGTCAATCCCTTACGATGTGCCCACGAAATTCTTTCGTATCGCTGCATTGTGGTTGTAAACAAGGCATTCACTTTTCTGCGGCACACTGAATTTCCGAGACTGAATTAAAGTGAGAGCAACGGCCCTTGGCTTGCTCAGAATGTGAGGATTTTTGGTTGGGCGTTTTTTAACGGGTGTTTCGATTGTAACATAGCTCTATGATGAGGTGGGAACTGAATTTGCCAACACACTTTATGTATCGTACTTGTAAAACGTGATTAATGTGAATAGCTCGAACAATACTGAGGCAGTAACTATATTTCAGTCATCAACGATTACAATGAGTTATTCTCATGCAGTGGTTGTTGGGGTCCCTAACACAATCAAATCTGACAATAAGAAAAGCATCGCAACGGACGCCCTTAGGAAACAAAGTGAAGGACTCATCGAAACCTTACGTGAAGCTGGTAACAATCATACAATTAGAACTTCTTGGAGTCTCTGGCTTTTCTAGGAGTTTCTGTCAGCGAATTCTGCCCTGCAAATGGATCTTCCGTCTCAAATTTATTCGTCGGTGACGCTGCTGTGTCCGTTCATGGGACCACACTGCTTTGTAGACCGAAAAAACCTGGCATTTCCCCACAAGAGGCACCCTTTCTGTTCCCCTTTTTCTTACGACGATGTTTATACACTAATTCTAGTTACGGCGTATCTTACCAAAGTGCTGTCGGACCATTCAAGAATGTCCCGAATTCGTTGATGGGAAGGCTGTGGTTCTAGAGGGAGGAGACGTCTTCTTCACTGGCAAGGAAATTTTTGTGGGAATCCGTAAACATGGAACAAATTTCGAAGGAGCCAAAGTACCTTAGAAGCTGAATTTGGTGTTTCATTTCTGCTGAAGCTCAATTTAGGTTGTAGCAAAAGTATTTTGTGACCACGCCGTCATACCGATACATATGTCAGATAAGGCACAGAGTCTGAAGTATTATGTTTCACTTGTTGCTCCTGGCATACTAGCAATCGGAACAAGTAAAGAAGCTCAAAATGTTTTGAAAGTGAGTCGACTGAAGAGAAGATTTGCGGACACTTATCATCTATACTACAGGTTCTTGAAGCCGAAACTATGTTACGATACAGAATAATACCAGTTGAAGATGACGAGGGTGTTAACTGCATCCTAGTGAACAATCGACTAATCTTTCACCAGAACAAGGCAGCTGCAGTAAGTTATCTGCCAGGTCCGCTTTTCGCCATGTCTCCAGAGCCTTACAGAGCGGAGTCGCAGCAGGTCATTCATGCAAAGCATCCGCATTCGTATAATTCGGTGTATGCTCAGATCATGGGGAGGGGTTAGTGAAAGGATATCAATCATCTTGGGTTTTGGAGCACTGAGTCAGATAGATCTTTATACGCATATGCAATACCACCTTTCCCGGTATTTCTGATAAATGGATTCCATTTCAAACTTTTTGGCTAACATTGAATGGCCAAGTAGAACTATTAACAGGAGGTTTCAAAGGGGCCGACGGTGCTGTAATGTATTATTTGGGATGTATAAGACTATAAGGATGTCTTAAAAACGTCCATACTTGATAAGTTCTCCTATCTTGAAACCTTGGCATGGTATGT